ACCAGTCCCTGGAGAAGGACATCATGCTTGGTAAAGTGGAGGGTCAGTGAAAAAGAGGCAGAATTCTCAATGAGATGGATTGGCACAGTGGCAGCAAATGGGCTCAAGCCTAACAACTGTGATGACGCAGAACCAGGCAGTGTTTCGTTCTATTGTGAACAGCATCACTGTGAGTTGGAACCAGCTTGACAGCACCCAACAACAAATAGATGGAGTTCCATAATTGGGTCCCCATTAGCGTCATCTTTAAAATCTGGAATTTCCACAAAAGCAAAGACCTTCTGAGGAAGGTAGATTGTCTTACTGATCCCTGTATTCTTGTCAGAGACCCAGGGCCTGGAAAAGAGCACAGACTCAGACAAGTGATACAAGTTTAAGGAACAACAGAAACCAAACAAACTCAGCGTTCTCCATTCTGTATCTCAATCCTGTATAAGACACTCAATTTCCTAAAATTCCTGTAAAATGGAGCAAAAAGGATTTTACTTCGAAAAAATCTTTGGGTCTAACTGTATCACAAAAGGGTCCTGGGGGGAAAAATAAAAAATGGGTCCTGGAAAGGACCTAAGCATGCACTGCTACATTACCAGAACGCTCTCTGGAAAGAGGTTTTTAAATTAAAGGCGCAATTTAAAGCATCTTTAAGGAAAATTTCCTTCATTTTCACATTACAATGTAAAGTCATTTAGAAAAGATCAAGAACACAGCATATTAGTCCATATAATCCAGCTTTATGGTTTAAACAATCATTACACTGATTAAAGACACAATTAAGCCTTAAAATGGGCTGTAAATACTTACGCAGGAACACCACTGAACTCATCAGAAGTTATAAATGCAATTTCCTTAATGTTTGTTTGTCCTTTTGGGGGCTTATTTACGGGTACAGGTCCCACAACGTTGACTGGTTCTTCAGGGTTCACATCTGATCCTTTTTCACTACACAATAGAGACACATACATGTATAAGTAATCATCAGAATTAAGCACAAACTGAAAAGTCCCAACTGAAAATAATCCATATTAAATATAAAAGACATCCTGTCACAGCAACTTTGTAGCCAACATTTTTTTTTTAACCTGGAGCGCCACACCAGGACTCCAATTGGAGTCTGTTTGTTGTTGTTGT